TTTTGTATTAGAAAAATAGTCCAGCGGACTAGAGATATTTTATTTTTATTTTATTTTTTACGTGTCGGGCATTTTTTTTTAATATTAATGTTTAATTTTTTGTATTTTTTGTTAATTAAAAATCATTATTTTATTTGTTTTATTTTTTTCTGGAAATTTTTTATTTTATTTTAATTTTTTTTTTAATTTTTTACATGTTGGCCATTTTTTTTAAACATTAATGTTTAATGTTTTTGTATTTTTTTTGTTTGTGTTTATTATTTTATATTTATTTTATACAAAAATAATTTAACAATTCCTACACTAACAACTATCTTCAAAACAAACACAATTTTACTTAATTCCCTCACTATCAATTCTCTTCATTCTACCTCTGAAAACAAACGTGAAAGATTCCGTGGTTCGGATTGACAAGCAATATCACCTGATTATTATCAAATTGATTGCAATCTTCTTCTAACCATCTTTCAAATTGAAATAAATAAAATTAATAAACCTAAACATACATATATTAGAAAGAGAAACATAGATGCTATCATGCATGGAGAGAGATACAATCATGCAAGCTTATTTCCCTTAGATGTTCCCAACGCCAAAAAGTGTGTATATATATATTTATATATCTTTTAAGCAAATGAAAACAAAAAATAAAATAAACAATCATACAAGAACACAAAAAATTTCTTAGTTCAGTTATAAATTTATGTTTATGGATGAAGGATGACAAAGAGCTTAACTATCAAAAAAATGAGAAAATAGAAGGAGCGGCTATCGCTCTTCAAAGTCATATATAATAATATAATAACGATAATCCATAAAATAACCTATATATATATATATATATAATATTATAACATGCATATCAAGAAATCGAACACAAAAACCTTGCAACTTGCCCATTAATCTAGTCAAGTAGGTCGCAAACGGATTATAAATACAAATCAGATAAAATATAATCCCACCAAAAGACTTTAGACAAAGTATAAGCAAACTTAACATCAATCTAGGACTATTATCCCAATCATAACCATCTCTTAATCAGGATACTATACACCAATTAGACACTCTAACTAACAACTATTACAATAATGGAGTGGGCTACCTCCATTATTACTTGCATATTACAGCGAATTTTGCAATTCTTATCTATTAAAAAAAGTGAATAATATATAATGATTCAAATTATCAAAATATGACTTATACAATAAGTTCAATGAGTTGAACATTACGAGTTATTTGCATAATTATATTGACAATAGTTATAAATAGTGAGATCCATTAAATTAAGAGTAAAGTTGATTTTTAAAGTCATTAAAATTATTGAAAAAAATAAATTAAAAAAATATGAACAAATTTTTAAAGATGTTTAAAATAACAAAAATGAATAAACAAATTGGCACAAAATGAGCAGCATTTTTCTTAAGAGCAGTGATTGGCACCTCAGTACGGAGGCAACCCTAGCACCCCCACCTCCACGTGGGGGGCTGTGGACCAAGGGAAAGTAAAAAAAAAAAAAAAATTCAAAAAAAAAAAAAATTCAACCAATCACATGCTACCACATCACTGGGAGTCACTAGGGATCCTTCAAAACTGGAGTTCCAAAGCATTTTTGTTTTTCTTAAATCAATAAAATGATGATAATGAGTGATGGTAAACACTCCAAAACATCTTACGTGTGGAATTAACATATTGTCGGTTCTACCTCTATATAAAATATTCGATAAAATCTTTCAAGTATCTAAGTATTTTTCAATGACAAATAATGTTGTATGGTCAAATATTCCGCGTGTTCACATCTAGTGGTTTGGGAGTGTCCGGTGCGTACGGATATTTATGTTCCAGTACTAATGAGGATGATTTGTATGGAATGTTGTGGGACCACCGTGATCAACACGCACTAGGAATAGAGATATAGGATCAAAGATCTTGGCCATTCATTTAATAACTGTACCCAACGGTAAAAAAAGAAAAATGACAGGAGCTGACCAAACGATTTTATCAAATCAAAAATGTTTTTTTTCCCCAAATTCAACCCCCCCCTCCCGGTGAATAGCCCGAAATGAGAGGAGGGAGAGAGAAGAGAGGGGAAGAGGAAGAGTTCTGCCCGATCGTCATCCGTTATCACCTGATCGTCGACCGCCGTCGCCTCGTCGCAGCTTGTCGTCTCACCACCGTCGGCTCCGCCTCTGTCTCGCAGCCCTCGCCCGTGCCTCCGCCTCCGCCTCCAGCTCAATTTTGTTGGCCCCCTCCAATCCTCCTTCTTCTTCCTTCTCTTCTTCTTCTTCCTTCTTGTGAAACTTCTTCTAAAAAAAAAAAGAAGTCAAAACGACGAAACGACGTCGTTTTGATTTTCGGGGGGATTCGAGAAAGGCAAATTCGAGCTACCAATCACTTCTGTTTATCAAATGTATATGAATGTGAAATTTACATGCGTAAGACACGTAAGATATTTGATAAAATATTTATAAAAAAATTAATTAGAGTAATATAAATAAATATATTTTTTAAAATTTTATAAAAATATATATAAAAAATAAAAAAATAGAATTTTTTAAAAAGTTATTTTGAAAAACTCTAACCAAGCAAAGTAGCACTTCTCATGCTCTAATATAACAAAAATGCAAGTGGGTCTGAAAAAATCTGGACCATTTTATTTGTGGGCCACACTACATGGATTGCACACAGAAGTGTACTATTCATATATATTTAAACATCGTTTGGGAACAGGTTAATTTAGTAATTTTTAGATTATTTGGCTAAAATATGAGCTAAAAAAAATTATTTTGGATGACTTTTTGACTTTTTAGAAAAAATTGTGCAAAAAATAAAGAGAAAAGAGAATCTTTGACTTTTTAGTATGGATTGTTGGCTTTTTAGTTTTTTTTAATGACTTTTTGACTTTTTAACTAAAAAAATCACTTGCCAAACGAGGCCTTAATAGATGGGAGTGGCACCTCTCCAACTGGATATCCAATTTTTGACCTCCATGGATTCACTGTAGAATTTATATCTATAATTTGAATTACATAAAATTTGTTGAGTATTTTGTTTTTGTAAAAATTTATGTTGATAAGATATTAATAGTCACTTGATTAGATCACAGTTGTGTTAACGCTTTTGACACAAATGTGATCTAATCAAGTGGTTATTAATATCCGATCAATGTGATTTTTTACATAAATAAAATACTCGATAAGTTCTAAACAATTAAATGGTTCGGATTATCGATACAAGTTTCGTGGTGAGCTCACGAAAGTCCAACAATATCATCTAATCCAATTTGAACTAGAGAGAAATTATTACCTTAATAGATTGTCAAGAGCTCAAATGGAGCTCATTTTTAATCATCTCAACGAAATAAGATAATATATGTTAGAAAAATATATATAAATCAATCGCATAATGGAATATAACTATGATATTAGGTGTGATTAAGATATAGGATGGATGACATAGAAGCTTGGTCTCTTGTATGGCGTGTATGAGGTCAATTGGGTGTTTGATGGTGGATTCTTTTTAATGGGTTGAGTTAAATTTGGCCGGCAAGTGATTATCTCGAGACCAGTGCTTACGGACACTATGATGTCCTCGCACAACATCATATTTTTGTAGTTCAAAAAAAAAAAGAAAAAAAAAAGGATATAGGATGAAATAGAAGAGAAGAATTATTTTTACCCATCTGATGAATTGATAGTCTTATAAAACCCCTATTGAAAAAAAAGTATCCACACTTCTTCTGTTTTTTTTTTTTTTTAAAAAAAAAAAAAAATTATCTTTTATGAAGAATGATTACCATTTTCTTTAAAAAAAATTTTAAAAAAATCTAAAAAGACAATGCAGAAAATGAGATGAAAATAATTATTTATCAACTTTGATTTTACACGGAATTCTATTTTACCTTCAAAGAAGTGGATGGCTCATAATATTGACTTGTATTATACACAAGCCTCATTAAAGTTGGTGTTTTTATGTAAAAGAGTCCTAATCGTAGCTAATGTGTTGGGTGTAAATTTGATTAAACTACAGTTAATATTTGTGTGCTTTTAATAAAATTGACCCGTCTAAATTAGTTTTTTATATTTTAAATTACATTATAATATGATATTTTTGTTGACATCAATAAAGTTGACGAAATTTGTTATATGAGTCATTCTTCACATTTTTTTGTCTTAGTAGCACTCTATACTTTTATCAAAATCTTACTTACTTCTTTATACTTTTAATAAATCCCACTCTAATCTCTCCATTTTTAATTTAGAAAATATTATAGATCTCAAATAAATTACTAAATTTTCTATCACTCTAATCTCTTCATTTTTAATTTAGAAAATATTATAGATCTTAAATAAATTACTAAATTTTCTACAAAGCCTTTCACATGGGTGTGAGGTTCACACAAATCACATGGATGTGAGGTTCACACAAATCACATGTGTGTGGGCCCCATACACACGTGAAAAGTTTGATAAAAAATTTGATAATTTATTTAAGTACCCTAGTATAATTCTTTTAATTTTGATCAGCCTTATGATAGATGGACAAAATTATATCAGTACAACTTAACTTTTAGAATGTAAAATGTTGACTATCACAACCAAAAGTGAAAGGATAACACTGAGATTTGGATAAAAATGCAGAAACATTAAGCATAATTAGTCCATTTAAATTCTTCTCACCAATTGTACAAGAAGTTCAGTTATCAAGGTTCATCAAGGTTCTTGGGATGAATCGTAAATTTAATCCGATCCGAACTTATCTAATACATGTGATTAGTTAGTGATATCGTATATCCGAAATTTACTTTATAGAGGATGAATGATGGATCCAAAGTAACCCAGTATGCACAGAATAATGTTGCTAGCAAATAATGCAACGCTTATTTCGCTTTTTGATTATGAATTTTTAACTCAATCCATATAAACAAAAATCTCCATTTTAAACAAGAAATTGAGTTTATGCAAATCTAATGTACACATAAGAAAGAGAGGGAAAGAAAAGAATGAAATGAAACAGGGGAGCAAGTAGCAACCCCAAATATCCTTAATATTAATAATTAGTTTTCTCTCACAGGCACCACCGTGAGTGAAATTTCATACTTCAGCGATTTACATATCCATAAAAACCCACAATATATTCTTGGGTTTTGGGGGTTTTGGGTTAGATCATTAACTACAAATAGAACCACCCAAAATTTAAAAAGAAAAATATTTAAATTTAAAATAAAAAAAAAAAAAAAAAACTCAGAAGCAGAGTAGCAGCTTCATGATCTCTTTCCAATTCCTATCCAAAACGCACTTGTTTTTTTCTTCTCCTAAATTTCTATCTCATCAGCATTGATGTTAGAGACTGAAAAACTACTTCTTCGCAAGGAATAGTGAGACCCATGTCGTGATCGAACCCGAACTCTTCTTCGGCACGGCGAAGAAGGGTCTGGAACTCAGGATGAGTCAAGAATGAGATGGGAACAATGTATCTGCTTCTGTTTTCTCCAACATAGACAACAAAGTGGCCTTTTGGGACGTCCACAGGAAGACCCTCTTCATCATAGCCTTGTTTCTTTCCCAAGCTTGAACACCTCTTAACAATTTGCTTGAGAACTGTTGTTTGGGACTGCTTGTTTGATTTCTTGATGGCCATTTTTTGGGGTGGGAAGTTTTTGCTTTGCTTGGGTTGAAAGGAAGAGGAGAGGTTTTGTCAAGATGAGAGAGAGAGAGAGGGTGGTCTGTGGTGGGAATGGAGAGGTAGAGAAAAGGGGAGTATTTAAAGTGGGACTTGGGGAGGCATGTGGGATTGTGGGGGCAAAGGAGAGACCATGGGGTTTTTGGAGAGTGTGTGAGCTAAGGACATGTTGAGAGCCAAACCCATTGGGTTTGCTAACCCTTGTTGCCCTTCCTTATGACATCCTGGTCCCTCTCTCTCTCTCTCTCTCATATTTCAAAATTTTCATCCTTACATTACTTTTTGAGTTATACTAGGAACTCTAAATATTTTACTAAATTCTTATATGAGTGTGGGATCCACATATTAGGGGTGGACGGGGGTCGATTATGGCCAGAAAACTTCCAATCTGCCATCCGTCCGTCAAATTGGGGGATTGTAGAAAATCAATCTGCATCCGTCCGCTAATCCGACGGATGTGGATTAAACGGATTGGCGGATAGATGCAAATCAATTTGGCGGTTTAAAATTTTATAATTTTTAATATAATTTAACTTGTGCACTTCCTCAAAAAAAAAAAAGTATATATATATATATTACAGTTAATAACTTAAAAAAGTATTATAATCACTACATGCCTCATCTAAAGAAAGAAAATTTGAAACTTTAGAATATTTCAATCACTGCATGACTCATTTATATATTACAATCACAGAATGTCTCATTCACATAAAGTATTACAATCTGTGGTTCTTAAAATATAAAAACAATTCAAATCACCAAAATCATGAACAGAGTAGTAGTAAAGATTTATACCTCTGTATTGTTACATCTATATCTCTTTTTTAAAACAAAAATCAACCGGTATATATCATATTTTTTTATTTATTATTTTTAGAGTTAAATTTAAAAATCAAAAAATATATTCAAGTTGAAAACTCTTTTTCAACAGAATATATTCAACATAATATTTAAATTCTTTTTCAATTGAAATCACAAATAGAATATTTAAACAAATTAAAAGCACAAAATTTTACAAATTAATAGGGATGCTCATGGTTTGGCGGTTCGGTTGCGGCCAAAAGAACCTTAAATCCGTCATCCGTCCAAAACTAAGCGGATTGGAAAAAGTCAATCCGCAACTGTCCTCTCGGCATCACGCATCCATCCAAAATGCGGTGGATCGGTTCGGTTCGGTTGATTTGAGCAGATCGATATATCCTCTACTCACCCCTACAACATACATGTGAATTTGTGTGAGTCTCACCCCATGTGAGAGGTTTGATAACATATTTAATAAAATATTTGAGATATATAGCATTTCCCTTACTTTTTAGCCATTTTTTAGGTTATGTTTATGGCTTAGTCCAATGACCTTGTTTGGTAGGGCTTATTTCTAACTTATTTCAATTTTTAACTTAATTTAAGTTATTTTGATGTGTTTGGTTCAGCTTAACAATACAAATTATAATTTTTTGTAAGTCAAAATTCAATTTATGTTCACAGCTATAGGTTATAATCTATTAAGTTATAATTTATAATCACTTTTCCACAACTCTACCAAACGGGACCAATGCTTAGTATAACTTCTGCTTTCAACTAATTTATGAGATAAAATATCTTAATTAAACTACCAAAAAAATAAATTATTGAAAAACTGAAAAAAGGGAGATGTGATTTTAACTTTTATTTTTCAATTATTATCTTTTAACTTGCAATAAGTTGTTCCAAACAAACCTGTTATACTATTGTTTTCTTGTAGAAAAAGTTGCTTAGCAAGAACAATAGACTAAAAAGTAACAAGAAAATGAAATTTAATGTAATATAAATCATATTCACAATGAATCTAATCTAAATATTTCATTTTTAATCAATTCTACATTTTCCAACCTATAAAAAAATTACTTTTTTTTTATATAAAATATTTTAATTTGCTCCATAGCATTATTGTTATCTCATGAATTGTCTTCTTTTTAAGATTCACAATCTTGTTTCCATTTACTTATTTTAGTTTTTATTGGAAGGGGGGTCATCTGTCTGAGGGATGAATAGAAGAAAAAAAAGGGATAGAAGTATTATTGTGATAAATGTAGGAGTAAATTATTTATCGGTGGCGTTGTATGCACTAATTAATATATTAACATAGTTATTACATTGTTATTTTAAAATTATAACCCCACCTATTATATAAATTACAAAGATTCAAAACTTTTAAAATTATGAGTAATGTTAGAGACCCCAAAAATTATAATAAAATTTTTACTAAATGTCTCACATGATGTGGGTCTCACATTCATGTGAGATATTTGATAAAAATTTTAATAGAACTTTTTGGATCTCTAACATTATCTAAAATTATATCACATTAATACATCAATTGGTGCATATAGTATTATTCATTATTTATTAAAGGATAAATTACATATACATCCTCCGAAGTTTACTTAAAATACGAATTACCCCTGTGGTATGAAAAATTACAAATACCTCATTGTTAGAACTTTTTATTTAATAGAATTAATTGAAAAAGTTAAACTTCTAACTGTTCACCTATACAATAATAAAATTATCTGAATTATTAATTGAAATAAAATTTTAACATTATTAAAAATTGTTAATTAATTTGATAATTTATTAATAAAAAGACTTATTTATTATAAAATTAAAAATCTTAAGAGACATACTATAATTTTTAAAATAATTTATAATTTAAGCCTCCGTTTGGGAAGTGGGTTGGCTTTTTGGCTTTTTGACTTTTTTGAGTTTTTTTGTGAGAGAAGAATATAATAATTATGGGTTAGATGTGATGTTTTGTTTGTTATGACTAAAATAGCCTATTTTATTTTTTGTGACTAAAATAGTCAAAAAAGTCCAAACCATAGCTTCCCAAACGAATCCTTAAATAGATTTCAGAGAATGTATTTATAATTTATTCTTTATTAAAAGGTGTTTGTTGTGGGGGAGTTGTCAATTGCTCCGCAACTTGCTCCATCATACTTGTTGGTTTGGTTAAATAAAGAGGTGTTATTTTTGTGGCGCTGTTTATCAACTTTCAAAGTCAAGGATGTTTTTATGTCCTCCTTATTTTGGTGTCTCTTTGACGCTTTTTTCCATTTTCTTGTTTCACCCTTCCAATTTCCCATATCAGTCCATCCCACTTGGTCACCACCTTCATTACTTTTCACATCTCTCCCAATACCATATTTTATCAGTAATATTATATATTTCAGAAAAATTTTCAAAATGTAGCATGACAGTACTGTTAGCATTGTATTATGAATTTAAAAAAAATAAAAATAAAAATGACGGGCACATCATTTTGTTAATTCTGTGGCAAAAATTGTTACATTAATTATTTTTTCTTATCATTTGCATTTATCATCTAATGTGGCATATTTTATAACCCTCGTATGTTTAGTAATCAATAGCTATGTGGAAGCTATTGTATAAATGGTCAATAGAGTGTGCCTCATTAAATAATAAATATAAATGGGCAAACATAAAAAGTAATGGGACTTTACATTTATTACCTGAGACTCACTCAAACACTTTTATCAAATAATAAGAAAATATAAATACGTGGCTGATTTTCTGACCACACTGTCTGTCTAATAATCAGCTGGAGAGCACCGGCAGAATAGATGGTTTCAGCGAACCTGCAACAGAAAGAAAAGGCTCCGGCAGTAGCTCTTCCACCCGAGAGCACTCCGACGATCAAGTCAGTAGATCTCTTAAAGATAATCAAGTGCTAAATTTACTACTCAAAGTATAAAACTGCGTACCTTAGACCCACAGGGGTGTCTTTCTTTTATAGTTACCTTAATCCTAGTCTCACTAGAAGCCTGACTTCTATGGACTCCAACTCAGTACTTACTTTGGACTCCTCAAGAGATAAAGATAAACTCCCTAAGAGATTTATCATTATCTTGACTAAGTCTCCTCTTCATCCTAGGACTCTTGTCCCTTATCCACTTATCTCGGATTCTGATATCTTCGGAGATAACCTCGGCCTTGCCGAGATCACCTCGGCGTCACGACCAGGACACGTGGCACCTCGGCTGACATGTCGGCGTCACTTTGCCACATGTTGGTACTCAGAAAATATATCCCCACAACTGCCCCTTAGGTTCTATTACCTCAGCATTCTGAGGTGATGGAACCTATATCATTCCATTTATCCAGTACGTCGGTTTTCAGTATCTCTACCGAGATCATTCATTTCAGGCCGACATGTTTTTCCTAAAAAATCAAGATTTTTAAGGACCTTCTCACGCGCATGAGCTGTCATGAACTTCAACTCAACCGTTTTAATCATGCGTTTCCCTCTTACTGGTCCGTACACATGACACGCCTGTTAGTCGCCTCTTTCTTCATGTGCGCCGTATGACGCCCTCGTTCTTCTAGGCGTATTGATTGCTTTTGCCGCCGTTTCTGTTTAATCAAAAAAAAATTTCTTTTTTTCGTCTCTTCATTTTTGCATCTGAGTTCCCTTGCTCTCTCTCTCTAGCTTTTGAAATCCTCCATCGCTCAAGCTTCCAAAGCTCTGCAACCTTCTACGTTCACCCATTCCGGTAAGATTTCCACCGGTCTTCTGCTCCTGCAATCGTCGTAGGACATTGGCAAATACCTTTTCGGCTTCCCTTTTTCTGGTAAGCTACTGTTCCTTTCGTTTTCAGTTCTTGATGTTTCTTCTTTTTTCGCTGTCGCCATTATTGTACTGTTTCAAGCTTTTTTAATTCATAAATCGTACATCCGAATGCATTCATCCATGATTTTGCCTTTGCCCATATTTTGAACACACGCGCTGTTTTACCATTTCTTTGCATTTTTGCCACTGTTCTTGGCCATATTCTCTTGTATTCTTTATGTTCTTGATAGCCCATCTCAATTTCTGTTTCTGAAACTTCGTTTTTGTTATCTGTTTTTTGCATCTTTTCCAGATTCTTGCTTTCAATCCGTGTTTCCATAAATTTAGGTCTTGGGATTTGCCTGTAGAACCCAGAACTTAGGAAAAAAACTGAAACCTGCACCTACCTTACTGTTTGCCGAGGTTCCAATAACCTTCTAAAAACATCTTC